GGGGGGCTCCAAAATCACTTCTTATGGTGACTGCAGCCACAAAATTAAAAGACACTTATTCCTTGGAAGAATAGCAGTGTCAAGACTTGACTGTTTTTAAAAGCAGAGACATGACTTTGCCAACAAAGGTCCATCTAATCAAAGTTATGCTTTTTCCAGTAGTCATGTATGGATGTAAGAGCTGGATCATAAAGAGGCCTGAATGCTGAAGAATTGATGCTTTTGAACTGTGTTGCTGGAGAATACTCTTGAGAGTCCCTTAGACTGCAAGGAGATTAAACCAGTCAATCCTAAAGGAAATCAACCCTAAATATTCATTGGAGGGACAGATGCTAAACCTGAAGCTCCAGTACTTCGGCTACGTGATGCGAAGAGCTGACTCATTGGAAAAAACCATGATGCCGGGAAAATAGAGGGCAAGAGGAGGAGGGGGCAACAGAGGATGAGATGGTTGGATGGTATCACTGACTCGATGGACATGTTATTTGAAGAAACTCAGGGAGATAGTGATAGAGAAACCTGGCATGCTGCAGTTTATAGGGTTGCAAAGAGTCAGACATGACTCAGCGAATGAACAACAAGGGATGTAATGTACAACATAATGACTATAGTTAACACTTGTTTTTGTCCCATATACTGCAGGACAACTAAGCCCACCTGTTGCAACTACTGCGCCTGTGTGCCTCAAGTACAAAGCCCATGCACCTTAGAGTCGGTGCTTTACAACAAGAGAAGCATCCACTCACCGCAATGAAGACCCAATGCAGCCTAAATAAATGGGTGATAGTGGTCTGGTGGTTAGTCCCTAAGTCATGTCCAACTCTTGGGACCCCATGCACTAAAGCCCCCAGGCTCCTCTGTCCATGAGATTTCCCAGTTGACAATACTGGAGTGTGTTGCCATTTCCCTCTGCAGGGGATCCTTCCCACCCAGGGACTGAATCCACATCTACTGCATTGGCAGGTGGATTCTTTACCACTATGCCACCTGGGAAGCTGCTAAAAATAAACAGTAAATTAAATAGTATATATCAATAATACCTCATAAAAGTAGAAAAAATTACTTAAAAGATAAAATTTTTAAAGTGAAAAAGTTATAAATGAAAAAGGACAAATTACAACTGCTTTTCTTTTCGAATTATTTTATTAAATCATAAAAGTACAACTGCTTCTTAACTCTACAGACACAAAGTTTTAAACTAACAACATTCTGTCTATTGTGCTGATTCTGGCTAACAGCTTCAAAACTTTGCGAAAAACCATTTAAAAGGTTTCACATGTCACCTGAAACTTACACATTTAACATTATCAAAGAAGGAATACTTCTACACTCTCACTAGAAAGAAACAATTAAGAAGCTAGGAAACTGTATCAAAGTCAGTTTTTTTCACAATTTTTCCTCCACAGGAAGGTAATGTTCTTAAATAACCCAGCCCATTCACAAAAATGACCCTTTGAACCTGCTCTGAGTTCTTCTGACACATCGCTAAATATTTATTCATGGCTGAGATAAGAATTTTCTTAATGTCCTTATTTCAATAACCTGAAATTGTTCTGTTACGTCTGGGCTCTCATCCTCTGCTATTCAGACGGTGAAGCCCAGGGCAAAGAGGAAAACGCTCAATATCCACGTCCCCCTCCATAACCCCAACTTCCTCCACTGGCTCCTGGGCCATAATTTTCTCCACCGTATGGGGCCGCTATGTTCCTGCCAACATCAAAGATACCATTCCTCATTGGACCATAATTAGACGGTTGCTGGTTGTAATTTCCAAAATTATTGCCATAACCACCTCCAGAGAACTCCCACTGGTTGCCATACCCAGGACCTCGACCACCATATTCTCCACCTCCTCCTCCATAACAAGGGTAACCTCCAAAATTACCACCTCCAGGTCCTCCTCCATACCCATGACAGCCATCCCTAGATCTGGGACCATTTCCATATCCATCAGTTTCTCCTCTAAATTTAGTTCCTGGCCCTCGTCCAAAATTTCCACCCCCACTAGAAGAAACACTAAAACCAAAGGGGCCTCCTTTTCTACTTCTAGAACCTTGAATTTCCTTCATTTCCTGTCTCGACAAAGCCTTCCCGACTTCTGCACGATAACCATTGATGGTATGGTATTTCTGCAACACTATCTTATCCACGGGATCATAGTCATCAAAAGTCACAAATCCAAAGCCTCTTTTCTTGCCCGACTGCCTATCAGTAATGATCTCAATGGCATCGATTTTTCCATATTTCTCAAAGTACTCTCTCAGATGATGCTCCTCGGTATCTTCCTTAATTCCACCAACGAACAGCTTCTTCACAGTGACAAGCGACCCCTGTTTTTCAGATTTCTCTCTCGCAACAGCACGTTTGGGGTCAACCACTCTCCCATCAATGGAATGAGGTCTGGCCGCCATGGCTGCATCCACCTCAGCCACGGAGGAGAAAGTAACAAAACCAAACCCTCTTGATTTTTGACTGGCAAGGCCCCTTATGACCACACAGTCTGTGAGTTCTCCCCACTGCTGGTAGTACTTCCTCAGACTTTCTTCTGTGGTTTCAGAGCTCAAGCCACCAATGAAGAGTTTACGGATTTGTTCGTTTTCTTTCTTTTCCCCCTTCACGGGAACAGGTGTCACAGTTTTCTCCATCGCGGGTTCACTCGCTGCAGCCATATTTCCAGTAGCCGAGGTTAACGCGAGATCTCGCGGGATGAACAGAGACCCGGCAGGTCTCTACTGCCCCAGGAACGGCAGGTCTAGGAACCTTCACAGGAAGTCGGTGATGCGGCTCAGACCTCCAGAGCCGCTGCCTCTTTCAGTGTTCCTGCAGTGTTCCTGCAAAACACCATTGAACACTGTGACTTTTCCTGATCCAGTCATTAAGATTAATATTGCACTTCCCCTATTAATGTTTCCCATTTTGAATTGTATGTGTACTATCCAGACTTCCCAGGTGGTGCTAGTGGTAAAGAACCTGACTGCCAAAGCAGGTTAGATGTGAGAGACACAGGTTAGATCCCTGGGTCGGGAAGATCCCCTGGAGAAGGGCATGGCAATCCATTTTTTTGCCTGGAGAATCCCATGGGCAGAGGAACTTGGCAGGCTGCAGTCCATGGGTTCACAAATAGTCAGACATGACTGAAGCAACTTAGCACGCAGGCACATCATCTCTTTATCTTGATTTTCTCACTAAGTTGGATGCCCAATGAAGGGAAGAGTAATGTGGACTTTAGTGGTTTACACTGACAGACTCACTTATTCACTTTGCCCTTAGACTGGGCTCATATATATTTTTTGAAAAAGACTGTTCAAACTCAAAAAATACTTTCTAAACTTTTCTAATAAATTCACTCAACTCCAGTTATATACAATGATAAAAATCTCTTTTGTGGTAGATTGTCTAATTGGCACTAGGGCTTCAAATCCTTTATGTAATCCATTTAATCTCTAATCACAATAATCTGGTTAACATGTAAACCTAATCAGTACACCCTTTCTTTAAATCTACCATTTCTGTCTTCAGAAGATATTTTTAAAGGGAGAAACTAAAATTTTTATTTTATTTCTGTTTTCCTGCCATAATTATTAGCACTATCCCTGAACATTGATCTAGAAGTCCAAGTTTGGAGGGAAAATTACTTGATCATCCCATTTACAGAGCATTTATTGGGAGGATTAATGCTGAAACTGAAGCTCCAGTCCTTTGGCCACCTGATCTGAAGTAAAGATTGAAAAGACCCTGATGCTGGGAAAGATTGAAGGCAGGAGAGGAAGGAGATGACAGAGCATGAGATGGTTGGATGGCATCACCGACTCAGTGGACATACATTAGAGCAAACTCTGGAAGATAGTGAAGGACAGGGGAGCCTGGTATGCAGCAGTCCTTGGGGGTGGCAAAGAGTCGGACATGACTTAGCAACTGAACAATTATGTGCCACATTGTACTAAAACCCTTGAGTTTAACTTAAAGTCACTGCCCCAGTTTATTTGAATCCTAATGAGTAAAAAGGGTTATAGACTAAAGAATATCTACTATTGTGCTTAATCTGTCCGTGGGAATTCTCTAGGCAAGAATACTGGAGTGGGTTGCCATGCTCTCCTCCAGGGCATCTTCCCAACCCAGGGATCAAACCCAGGTCTCCCACATTGCATGTGGGCTCTTTACCCTCTGAGCCACCAGGGAAGCCCAAGAACACTGGAGTGGGCAGCCTGCCCCTTCTCCAGGGGAGCCTCCTGACCCAGGAGTCGAACGGTGGTCTCCCGCATTACAGGCAGATTCTTTACCAGCTGGGCTACCTGAGAAGCCCATATCTACTATAGTTTCAGGTATAATTAAGTATTGTGATCATCAATAAGGCCAACAGAGAGACAGAGAAAGAAGGAGATATGTAGGAACAGAAATAAGGGAGAAAAAAATTAATGACAATTGTTGATGAAGAAATTGCAGAAGGCCAAACTGATGACCTATCTGAAGCAATAGGTTCAAATAGTTCTTGAAGCAAAGAATTGAATTTTTTTAAAGAAAGGAAGGAAAACCAAACACATAGTGTGTAAAACAACTTCTCAGAGAGGACTATTTAAAGAACACTTCCAAATACTTCTACTTCATAGTGACTTTGTTTTAAAAAAAAAAATATTATATCTATATATATATGTATATATATGTATAGTTCCCTNTTTGTGTCTGGGAGTGGTGTTGGCAGTTTCAACATTTTAATGGTTACTCCCACTCAGGATACATTGTACAAAAAAAATTATTTCTATACACAGAAGTATCCATAAGCTTATGTTTTAACACAATAAAGTAGAGGCTGTTTAAATGTTTATCAGTAAAAGTCCAAATCTTTATTAAAAATCTATTAAGTCTATGCCAATAGCCATTCCAAAGAAATCAGTGTTTTGTGCATTTGCTAAGCCGCATCAGCCATGTCTGACTCTTTGGGACCCTATGGACTGCAGCCCACCAGGCTCCTCCGTCCATGGGATTCTCCAGGCAAGAACACTGGAGTGGATTGCCATGCCCTCCTCCAGGGGATTTACCCCACCCAGGGATCAAACCCGCCTCTCTTACATTTCCTGAAAGGCAGGTTCTGTCCCACTACCTGGGAAGCCCTCTAAATAGTCTGCTAACTATCTTTATTTCGCTGACTATGATTTAACTTTTTCTTCATTCTGATGTGGGCTACCTTTTGAAATAATTTCAATTTCTTTGGTAAATAGAAATATTATAGAAACCAATTTCCTCTGTGTTTACTTTCTTTAATGTGTGTTTTTAAATACTTAAAATTACAGCCCTGTGTACACTACCATGTGTAAGATAGATAGCCAGTGGGAAGTTGCTCTATAGCACGGGGAGCTAAGCCCGGTGCTCCATGGTGACCTAGAGGGCTGGGATGGGAGGAGTGGGAGAGAGGCTCAGGAAGCAAGGGATGCATGTCTGCTTAAGGCTGATTCATGCTGTTGTACACCAGAAACTAAGACAAAACTGTAAAGCGGTTATACACCTATAAAATTTTTGTAATTTAAAATTATATAATCAGTTATACCCCCAATGATGTGCAGAAAGTAATCATGAGTGAACATTGAGCTGTAGCCATGTATCAGTCCTTCCAAAACCATGTATTTTGTTGTTTCGTTGCTAAGTTGTGTCCGGCTCTTCTGCCACCCCATGGACTGTAGCCTGCCAGATTCCTCTGTCCATTAGGATTTCCCAAGAAGAAAACTAGAGTAGATTGCCATTTTCTTCTCCAGGGGATCTTACCAACTCCGGGATGAAACCCAGGTCTTCTGCATTGCAGGCAGATTCTTTACCATCTGAGCCACCAGGGAAGCCCAAAAGAGTTTAAAAAATAAAAATAAATTAAAAAATAAAATCACCTAGGTTATCTTGTTCTGTTTCTATTGGTGTTGGGTGGATAATACAACATCTGATGTTTAATTGTAGGGAGCAACATGACTGGGCTAAGGAATGCCCAGTTAGCAGGTTGTGTATTAACTCTGTGTTCCTGAAGATGTTTCTGGAAGAGATTAGCATTTGATTCCATAGACTAAGTTAAGAGACCCCACCCTCCCCAGTGTGGCAGAGGGTAGTGGGGGAGGGGGAGTGTCATCCATTCTGCTGAGGGCCAAATGGATCAAAAAAGTGAAGGAAGGGTGAATCCATTCTCTCCTCTTGAACTGGGATGTCCACCTTTTCCTTCCCTTGGACTCAGAGCTCAGGCCTTCAGACTTGAACTGAATTTTACCACTGGCTTTCTGCTTCTCCAGCTTGCAGATAGTGCTGCCAAAACCTTGCCTTTCTGTGCACTGATGCCAAGTGGAAAGATGAAGACAGTTATGAAGGAGAAAGAAAGAGTGGCTTTATTCCTTTGCCAGGCAAAGAGGGACCAGAGTAGGCTAGCGCCTCATGAACTGTGCCCCCTCGATGGGGAATAGGGAGAGGTCTTACAGTCTGGGCTCTTGGTTGGGGTTAGGTGATAAGGATCAAAGCAGTGACAGGCTTGCATTCTGATGGGTTGGTGGTGAGGTAAGTAGTAGTCTTTGGTGCTCGAGAAGACTCTTCAGAGTCCTTTGGACTGCAAGAAGATCAAGTCAGTCAATCCTCAAGGAAATTAACCATGAATATTCAGTGGAAGGACTGATGCTGAAGCTGAAGCTCCAATACTTTGGCTACCTGATGCGAAAAATTGACTCATTGGAAAAGACTCTGATGCTGGGAAAGATTGAAGGCAAAAGAAGGGGGCAGCAGAGGATGAGATGGTTGGAGAGCATCACGGACTCAGTGGGTATGAATTGGAGCAAACTCTGGGAAATAGTGGAGGACAGAGACTGGCATGCTACAGTTCGTGGGGTGGCAAAGAGTCGGACACGACTTAGCCACTGAACAACAGCAACAAGACCTTGCTCCAAGGTTGCTGTTGACCATTTCTCCTTGGTCTTGCATTCCCACCCTTCCCTAATTAACAACTGCTTGAATCTGCCCACTGGAGCTCAGGGAAGGTCATGGGGGCTGAATGAAGGCCATTTCCTGTAATTGAAGAAATGGGGGACATGGAAAGTCTTTGTGCCCTGGAGTCCCATAGACCCCTGCTCAGTATCAGACTCAGAAATCAGACTGCAAGATTTCTCGCTTTCATAACTATGTGAGTGAATTCCTAAAAAAATCTCCTCTTCAATATACTTTATATCCTATCGGTGGTCCAGTGGCTAAGAGTCCACGCTCCCAATGCAGGGGACCTGGGTTCGATCTCTCGTCAGGGAACTAGATCCCACATGCTGCAACCAAGAACCCCCATGCCACAACTAAGACCCAGTACAGCCAAATAAATTTAAAAAACAAGATAAAGTCCAAAAGAGGTGTACCTGGAAGAAATTTACAATGCATAGGAGCCTCCCTCAAACCCCAGAAGGAGACAATCCACTCGCCCCCCCAAGAGTTTATGTACATGAACACATGAAAAAACACTTAAATGTGAATAAATGCTCATACTCAAACTATCTCCCTCCCTCCCTCCCTCTGTCTCTCTCTGCCTTACTGTTGATCGCAGCATTTATTTCTATATGATGGGTTATGAACTCTTTGCTCTACTTATCAGTCCCTCTCACTAAGGAAATGGGAGCAGTGCTGTTTAATTTCAGATCACAAGTTCTATATCAGCACTTTGCACATAGTAGGTGCTTTGCAAAAAGGGTGACCAAATTCTTTCTGCAAATTGAGACACATTGGGGAATA